CGAATCGAATCACCACCCGAAGCTTTGCACAGCCCTACTAAATACTGTAGTTTTTAACTTCCTTCAGCTCCTCTTGAAGTCAATGGCAATAGTAATACTATTCATCCTTTCCATTAGCATTTTGAAGGATTGTTCTCTGTAACAGAAACACCCATCTAATGCCAGATCCCACATCCAATGAAGCCCATTGCTAAATTCCCACTTCAAGAGTATAGGATTTAACCTCTAATCTGGGAACAGAAAAGTACTGAGCCAGATCCTTAACTGGTATACATTGGCCTATCACCGTTGACTTTAGTGGGAACAAGCCAATTTACATTTGCTGTATGACAGTATTCATATATGTTAGTGTTTGCAGAATCTTAGTTAATCATCTTCCTGGTATGTGTACAGTTCTTTGACATGCCGGCTGGAGAAAGAGAAGCAAGATGAAGATAAAACCACTTGCATGCACATAAATAAAAGCAAGGAGGATTTGGCCATAACAATATCTGAAACTGCTTTTAACTCATCTTTTAACTTACTAGATGTCAAGTTGATAGCATCCACTTTACTTAGTCTAAGTGTCTAAATTAATTTCATTCTTTCATTTGATTTAAAGAAGTATTTAATTATTTTGTGGTCCCAACAACACACAAATAGTGGAAATCAGAAATGTTGAACTGGTTATGTCAACAGTCCTCAGAGCGGATTAGCTGCTGGATTCATCTGTTGATGATGAATTGCAAAATTGTACAGACTTAGAAATATTAAGCTAGATTTTGGCCCTTTCACACTGACATAGCTCCATTGATCAGTGGCAATGTGTAGGGGATGCATGGAGAATACTGGTGTACCCACTGACTGGCTGCGCTTGAGGCTTAGGCGATAGGCAGGGGGGGCAGGCAGGAGCACTGGTGCCCCCCCTACAAGTGCTGGACGATGAGTGGAGCATTGTTGCACTCCTGGAAGTGGCTGCAGTGATTGGCCACAGCCATTGGCTGTCATGGGATCGGCTGCTGGGCTCCCCCCCATTCCCCTGGTTGGTGGGACTAAGGTGGCACCAGTTGCCCATACCATTGATCAATAACAGTAACTCTTGGTACATTGTTCAGTATATTAATAGTGCATATTCTGCTTTATAAACAGGCATGGTTTATCCACGAGGAGTTTACACTCTAGCCATGAATACAGTGGATATTTGATGGATTCCTGTGACTATGAGGAGTT